CAATAAGTCCCGAGACTACGTACGAACACACGATGCGGAACGTTCGGGTAGGCCATTGGAAGCTGTTACATCGGAAAATGTGAGTGAAGTGTTGAAAATCGTAATGAGAAATCGCAAAGTGAAGGTCCGTGAGATTGCAGAAATGACACAGATATCATCTGGAAGCGTATTTACAATCCAAATTTGAGCATGAAAAAGGTTTTTTCCAAGTGGGTGCCGCGATTGCTTTCAGTGGAACAAAAACAGCAACGAGTCGACGATTCAGAGAGCTGTTTATCGCTATTTACTCGCAATAAAAAGGATTTCCTGCGTCGATACGTGACCATGGATGAAACATGGATACATCATCTCACTCCGGAGTCGAATCGGCAATCATCTGAGTGGCGCATGGCTGGCGAAAGCCGCCCAAAGCGTCCAAAAACGCAGCAGTCTGCTGGCAAGGTCATGGCGTCTGTTTTTTTGGGATACACATGGTGTGATTTTCATTGACTACCTGGAAAAAGATAAATCGATCAACAGTGATTATTATATTGACTTGTTGGTACGTTTGAAGTAGGAGATCGCAGCAAAACGACCGCACATGAAGAAGAAAAAAATCTTTTTTAACCAAGACAATGCACCATGCCACAAGTCCATGTAAACAATGGCAAAATTCACCCCCCGTATTCGCCAGATTTAGCCCCCAGCGACTACTGGCTCTTTGTTGATCTCAAAAAAATGCTAAAGGGAAAAAAATTTGGCTCGAATGAGGAGGTCATTGCCGAANACGGTTAAGGCACGTCTGTTAGTATATGTCGATGGTACCATACTCTGTAATTTTCTCTGAACATATAGGAGTTTGTGCAGAAACCTTTTGATGCATATTGTCAGTAATTAAATCTGAAATAAAAACGTAATTAAAAGGTTGCACTGTAATTTAGATTTTTATTCTGAGTAATATGAAACTAAATTGATATATTGTCACGTATACCTGTAATTTGGGTTTGTTAAAAATCATCTTCTACAACATGAGCTTGTAATGTATTATTATGATTAGGGCCGCTATTTAAAACTATCTCCCTTCCTTAAAAATTCTTTAGTTTACAAACGCTACAAATGTCTCACTAAAATCACCGTCGTTTTCTTGGGTGTATTAAAAGTTAGGATCAAAATGTATTTCCGCCAATGTTTTACCTTTATATTTTACTAGAGGACCTCCTTTTTCCATCATTAAATGTATTTTTTTTGTAACTGTTGCAGTTTGATACATATCAACGGGAAGTCTGAAGAAATTTCGTTAATTTATACTTTCGTAATCAAAAGTTTAATTGCGTATTTATTTAGCCATTAAATCTCTAAATAAATAGTTTTCTTTGTTATGCTTTAATCTTTGAATTAAAATATACATCCTATTTGATATGGTACACTCTAAATACTCACTTATAAAATTCTTCATGTGTTTTTAATGTGTGATCCACGAAATCGGAAAATTGTCTAAATTCACCTTTAGTCAAATTTAGAAGTTGCATTACTGTTGCGATTTACTCTCTCAATTTGTTACTGGAAAAAGCTTCAGCATTTTCTAAGTCAAGCTTTCTCGTAAGATTTCCTATAGCCACATCCCCTTTTCCCCATTTAATTGTATTATTTGGAATTGCAAACACTTTCATTTTCGAATGAAATATACTTATTCCTATTTTTTGGCAAAATGTTTATAAAGTCTCGTAGCACGTCTGGTATTAGTATTGCTACAGCTTTAAATCTTGTTCTATTATTAACTACTCTTTTGTATATATTTGTTAACACTCTTTAAGTTTCTGTTAAAACTTTTTCGAAATACTCCGAATAATTGTTTTTGTCAGTTTCATAATTTATAATTTTCAACAATTGGACATCTCCTATTCTTCTTCTATTGAAAACAATCAAGCGATATAGAACGCATTGAACCAACTCCTTATATGTTTTTTCATCATATTTATCATTTAAAAATAAGTCTTTGCAATTATTTGAAGTCATGAAAGTTCCATCCCTAAATTTCTTTATATTATTAAGAAAGTTGTATGATGTAGATTTATTGATACAATATATCTTACAAGAGATGCTACATGTTCAAAAGTGCAAATAAGAGTAGTGTGATTATTCTTTGTTACCGAAATTGTTTTTAAAAAAGAGAATTGCACTATCCACAACTGTCCAACGTAGAACTCTACTTCTTTCCGCCGAATACAACTACCAAATTGCAACCATTGGACCAAGGGATCATCCATAATTTTAAGACGTTCTATCGCAAAGAAATTGTTAAGCTCGTTTCAGAATCTCTCGACAAGCAGCTAACTGCGAATATTACAGTTCTAACAGCTTTTTTACTGATTAACAAGGTATGGAGAGCTGTAACACCCACAACAATTTTCAAGTACTTTAAAAAATCCGGTTTCATAAAAGAAGATCAGGAAAATCTTCCAATAATTATAGATGATAAAGAACCAGCAATAGAACCACTAGTTGACATCAGCGATATGAGTTTTTCTGACTCAAGTGGACTGTCTTGTCCATATTGTTAAAATAGTCGTAGTCTAAAAGTAAACACAAATTATGTTCAATACAGCTATTACATTTATTAGGTATATTTAAGTTATTTTACATGGACGAAGATGTTGCTGTCTCAGGTTCACCAACCGATAATGAAATTTTATCTGCGACAGATACGAATGAAAAAGCAACGATGAAGATGAGGACGATACATTAGAACCTTTGACAGAGGTGTCAGTTAAGGAAGTAACAGCCTCCTCATTCGATGCCTTACAAAGCTTCTGTTTACAAAACGAAAGTGATGAAAAAGCATTTCAGGCACTTTTTCTCTAAAAAAAAATATTTAGCAGACTGAGCAGCAGCAATATGCTTTGAAGCAAACCAGTATAACAGAGTTCTTTCGAAAGATTAATTAATTCACATTACGAATATGTACACGAATGTACCTCTAAACTTTTGTCATTGTTTAAGAATAGCAGTTAATAAATAATAATTGATCAACCCTTAATAATTCGAAGTTTTATTTGTTTTCTCTCAAACATTTCGAACCATTTGATATTTCAAACACTCGATAATTCGTAATATTTTAAGAGTCCATCGAGTTTCGAATTAACGAGAGTCGACTGTTTATCATCAACTAAAGGTAATAATAATGGCTTATTCCATCGTTTTTTCCTGTAAATCCTTGTTTGCAAGTGAGCCCAATTCAATATTCCATCTAGATTCAATTTTTTAGCCACTGGTTACGGCCTGCAGCAGACGGACTTTCGAAGCCCCAACATTCTTTTAAGATTAAGTGACATAATTCATCACAAGCAAAATTCAATGAAGTATCCAAATGCATTGTAAGACTGGGCGAATTAATGTTTTTTGCCAAGGCATCATACCTTGAAATGTTACTTGCAGCAGATACTACCCCGTCAAAATTTTTGGGATGTAATAAATCTTTAAGGTGCACAACATCAGTATTACAAATTTTACGGAAATCTAATAGCAATCGCGAAAGTTTTGTCATCCGGCTGTCATCATACTGCAAGCGTATGCAATGCGTTCTCTATTGTGTTTTTTAGGTATGAATCGCCTAAATTGGTTATTAGTAAATCTTTTTTTGCTTCTAAAAAAATTTGATCACCCTTCATTAAATCAAACACCTGAAGTCGGACAATTGTTTTTAAAATTAATAAATTATAAAAAATATTACGAATTACCTGTTTTTTGACATTCAATTGTGAAATTACGTTTGTAAGATCCGCTGCCCAAGCTATCAGTGTATGAGAAGAAGACACAAGATTTTTTCTTTTTCCTGTTATTACAGTATCATTAGAAGTGAATACAGTGCATGATTTCACATGACATATATCAAACAACCCTTCACAGTACACATATGAAATGTAGTCAGCATCTTCTTGTACATATTTGAAACGTTGTCGGTTGTGTCTAACCGTTCCTTTCAAATAGAAATTGGTACCATTCCTAAGTAAACCTAGCTTTTTGTACCTGGGATGCGGTAGGGAAAGCCCTAATTGGAAAAAATTCCAAATGAATTTTTATGTAATAACTGCATTTTCCGCTAGGCTGGTTGGAGGTTTTTTTTTGCCGATTTAATCCTTTTATGTCGAGGTCCATTCTAATCCCTTACATCATAAAGAGAAGATGCAATAGCATTATTAATGACATGATCCGGTAAATCATCATCTAGTTTTGAGAAAGTTTTGGTCAGCACGCCTGGAGAAAAAAAATTTTTATTACTTTTTTAAAAGTTTTGCAAAGAATTTTTTCAAATAGTACATTTATACTCCATACAAAGTTGTATAGTCAAACACATAAGGTTTATTTTTACTTGGTGTTTTTAAGTTATACATACTACAGCCATCTCTAGTTACAAGCCGTGCTGAAGGTAGGTACCCGAGTAAAAATAATTCATTAATTTTTCACTCAACTAAAATACCGCCAAATTAGCACCGTAAATTGTTCCAAAAAACGACGAAAAAAGGCCCGTTTGCAGGACTAAACCTCCGAAATAGCGCCGAAATAGCACTAAAATAGCACCGCATTTCAGTAAACCGCCAAAAAAGCACCGAAAAACCGCCGTTTTTCTACTAAAAGAGCGTTGGAACAGTACTCTTCTCGCATGAAATAACAAAAACTGATTAATTATTAATTAACTTTTATTTATGTTATAAAGTATTAAAGATTCTGAATATTGTAACAACTATCATTATTATTTGAACTATTATTACTATTGTTAATATTATGATTAATGTTATTATTACTTATTTTATTATTGCTATTTTCATAATAATTATGTGGCTGTGCATTATATTGTTGATGATACGGCTGATAATAATTTGGGTTCGGATAATTATAATATTCATGATAATTTGAATACTGCGGAGGTACATGATGTAGGTTAAATGGAACGCTGTATGGCGATGGATATGAAAAATTTAATTGATTAGGATCATTAGGTGCAGGATAAGTAAAATTTGGAGATGTATGTTTTAATGATGATGTTGGTGTTGGTTCTGATGATGATGTGGGTGCTAGTTCTGATGATGATGCTGGTGCTGGTTCTGATGATGACGGTGGTGATGGTTCTGATGATGACGGTGGTGCTAGTTCTGATGATGACGGTGGTACTCGTTCTAAAGATAACGGTGGTACTGGTTCAGATAATGACGGTGGTACTCGTTCTAAAGATGACGGTGGTACTGGTTCAGTTAATGA